CCCCCCCCCCAGTCGTGACATTTATCACAATTACCTGTATGTGTTTTAGCATAAATTTGCATAAAGGCCTTCTGTGTTGTTATGCTACAAAAAATAAGAGGCGCTTAAGATGAACAAAACTATATGAAAATTAGCATTATTTTAAAAGGTCAGTTACCTTAAAGCAAAAACAAAGCCGTATCGGGACTAACTCGTTTAAGATGACAGACACAGTAAATGGCTTTTTAATTATTGTAAGGAGGACAAATGTCAGGCAACAGGCAGAGGTTTAGGAAAATCAGTGCAAGTGTTACAATAAAAACATAGTGCTAAAACTACAGTGAGGGTAATTCCTCTACATTTTTTATTGCAGTTAGTTTTCTAGTTTCTAGGTCTAGTTTTTCTTTTAGTTAACTAAAATCTTTTTTGACCTATTTTTAGCGTTTAGTTTTAGTTTTAGTTAACTATAATAACTTTTCCTGAAGTCTGAAAAACTTTCCACTTATCCAGTTCTGTATTGCAGGGAGCCTGTCCCAGCTGTCATAGGGAATGAGACAGCACACCACCATGCTTCCCAGTCTGAAAGCTGTGGCTCTCAAGTATTGCTTTACTTTTAAGGGCTTGATGATAATAATGAATCTATTCTAAAATGTTTGTCTCAGGATGCTTTGGCTCATCTTGCTATTTTCATATTCTTTTTACACTCCATTTGAGGCCAAAGAGACCAGTGCATAGGGCAAATGTGAATGTGTGACCCAGAGTTTATGCAAAAAAAAAAAAGTTATTATGTTCTGGGCTATGCAGTTAAAATCTGGGCCATATATTATGTGCACAGTGTACCAAATAATAAAATACGTATAAAGAATTCTGCAGTTAAAAACACAAAGTAAAAACAAATATGCTACAGTAAGTACACCTGAAAAAAGCCAGTCTGTATTTCTACAGTAGAGGGCAGCAAATAGCTGCCATTGACCTTAATATGAAGAGACGTTCTGCCTCTATAAATAGAAAAACCTCAAGGCGGAGATTATTGGTCTTTCTCTCTTTTTGTCAAGAGGTTTTCTCTTCTCTGTTCATTCACTTATTTACGCTGATTTACAGTGTCATAGAAATGTAACGACTTCTTTCTTCTCATCGCTCTCCTCGAAAAGGTGTTAAATTTGTCTGACAGTTAACACTTAATCCAAGCTAACATTTGTCACTTTGTATGGACGCGTGAACGTAAATTATAAAAAATATTTGTTAGCACAGGAAGTAAAGGATGTAGATATCTGCCATGTTAAACATACGCAGCGTGAAGTAAAAATATCGGAGCTGTTTATTTATAGTGTCAACATTTATTTGATCCTTTTGTTTCATGTTGGGAATTCAATACCTTGTAGTTCCAGTCAATGAATATCAGAGTTTGTCTTATTTTGGGATTTACTACACAACACTGTACTGCACTGTATATGCTCATAAAGTCAGAGGAGTCATGTCTCACAGGGTGAAAGTTATCATACTGAATCACTGATTAACTCTGATAAAGATATATTCTTACAGTTTGAACCTTTATTGCTCAACCAAGTCATAAAATGACTATATTGATATTAGTTACTTGTCCAAGTTACTACCACTCTAACCCTTTTAAGATTGTTTAATTGAAATAAAAACAATCATTAAACTTTGCAATATTTTTATTTGTAATATTTATTTACATAAATTCCATTTTTCCCCTACCATCTCAAAACTGGCCACTGAGATTTACCGAGGGCAGTAAATTAAAACTACTTCCGCCTCAACCAACTACAACAGAAAAGTGCTGCTCACATGTAAATGTAACAATTTAGAATATCACTCATTTGAAGCTTATTTAGTTAATGAATGATGTTACCTTTAATATATTTATATAATATATTTTGATGACAGAAACCACATTTCTGCAGAATGAGAAATCTTACTTTTAACATATTTTATTGTTATTTTGAACATTTTATTTGTTTTTATTATTTTAGAAGTACCGCTAATTAACGTGAATTAAGATTTTTAATAACTGAATATATTTAGAGGATGCAAGACTCAAAGATATAATGTTAAGATTTGATGTAAAGTAAAAAAAAAGTATTTTCAGTTGTGAAAAATGTGTAGAAAAACACATCTCTTATGAAAGTGCACTCATCCTCCTTAGCACTTCTGACTCCTAGAACCAACAGATTTGAAATTTTCTGTAATCTATTCTGAAATAAGTTGTGTTTTGACAGCCCTTTACACAGAATGAAACACACAAAACAGTTTTTATGTCTCGTTGCATAAGAGACGAGCTAATATTTGTGTACCTGGTGGGAACATTATGTGTCTATTTAACATTTTCACAACCTCAAAACAATTCGTATCAATTTTGTATCAAAACTAAACTTAAATATGTTTGTTTAATCTTTAAACAGTAGCTAGGTCTGATCTAGACGTATGATAAAGTTTTCCTTTTGAAATTTACTGTAACCTGATTTTAGATTTGACAGTATTTACTATTTAGAGATCTTTTAAACCTGCTATCATCAGAAAATTAAACATTCACTTTTCAAGCAGGTTGAAGGAGACATATTTTTAAAAATCGTGATTGGCTGACCAGATTTAACCGAGAAAATGTGATCTGTGGATGTCAGGTGGTGGGCAGTGATTACCTTATGATTACTTATGTGTCTCATGCCCGTTTTCTCGCACTGCTGCAGAAATGTAAATGAATATGTCTGAAACATCTATGAAACCCAATGACCCTCTGATCTTGTATGCATGTTTAATTTCCCCTATTTTATGTTAACTCACAACTTCAAAAATAAGTTTTTGCTCATCCCACAGAGGCAGCATGTCTGCCTTTTTCTTTGGAGGAAAACAAAGTCACATGACTGCCAAACAACCAACAACCTCATTAAGTATGGAGGACCTCCCGACCAGAAATGCAGTGCGCCCATCAAGCCCTCTGCAACCGAGGGGGCACGTGTCTCCTCAAATTGAACATTTTGAAATATGCATGCTCCATGTTGTGAGACTCCCACTGCGTGCGCTTGGTTTTCCTGTGGATGTGACAGTGCTGGGTCTCATAAAACACAATGCACTCGAGATTCATTTCTCAGCTGCCCTGCTGTGACCTTGACAAGCTTCCACCAGATAATAATGTGTTGATCAAGGGTGTTGAGAGTTTCATGTCATAGGGAAGAAGGATGTCTTGATGTGCGGAAGTGGTTAACTATAAATAGAATCAAACAACAACTGGATCAATTAATTATGAGCTCTGGATTCCCCGCAGGGTCTTTGAGAAAGCCAAGGACGGGACGGACAACAGGAGACGACTTCCCTGTAAACACTGCCCTGCTGCCATTGAAATGCACCGTGGGGTTTAAAGAGTTTGCCCCTAGACTTTCTTAAGCTCTCTCTACAGTTTAATGACTGCTCTGTCAAACTCTATAAAACATCACATTCATAGTGAACAAAAACTATTTATGTTTATTTTCTCTTACCTGAAAAAAGCGATTTGAATATGAAGTCCAGTAATGAGCTGGTGGGGTTAGTCGCCATTGTATCATATGACAAAAACAGGAGTTTGGACGTTCTTCCTGCACCTCTGTGGGTTTTCTGCAGGTACTCCAGCTTGTTCACTCAGTCCAAAGAAATGCATGCTAGGTTAATTATAACCTGTGTTAACCTGTTAACCTATGTTAGTACTAGGATGGACTGGCAGTCCATGGTGTACCACACCACTCTGCCTGTGTCAGCTGGAATAAGCTCCATGGGAACCTAGTATGAGAGACACTTGAGCAAAAATGGATGGATGATATAATTAACACATTCTGCTTTCCAAAGTTGTTAACAACATTTAGAGAGACCCCATCCTTCTTAAAATATCTATGCATGCATCTATCCTCTGGTGCTTATCTAGGTTCAGATTGTGGGGACAGCAGTTTAAGTAGTGACCCAGACTCTTTCAGGTCATTTTCCCAGCTCTTCAGGGGGGAATCTGAAGGTGTTCACAATCCAGTCTTTCCAGTTTACCAACAGAAACAAAATTCTCAACCTATTGCTATGGGAGAGGCCCGCCACCCTTCAGTGGAAGCTCAGTTTCACCACCTGTATCTCATTCTTTCACGCAAGAGGATAAAAAACTGCAACTTCAGCGGTGGAGGCATTCCAGCATGAGTCAGAGTCTAGTCATGATGTGGCTGTGGGCTGTCAGGAGACATTCTACATCTCTACACTAAAAGTGGGATTGTTGTGACATTTGATTTTGCTGCAGGAAGCTTTGTTGTTCGAGTTTCAACACCATCCAGTTTTGAAGCGAGTTGTTACTGGAAGCCTCTGTAGCATTAAAGCTGCTCGACACTTATTTGAATACGAGTACATGAAAGTTAAATAAAAAGTCAATGAATGATGTATTAATTTGTCAATTATTACTTTTCTGATTGAATAACCAGGTGGTTCTTACTCCTATAATCCCATATTGTTAAAGCTGCTGGTATGTCAAGACGTCCTTCTGCTTTCACTCCCAAGTCATCGATCTTTAAGATGACCAAGCACCTTTGGGTAACTAAATGTATCCAGCAATTAAAAGCAAACCCCCCCCCAAAAAAAAAATCACTGGGAAAAAAGTGAAACTGAGTGCTATTGTCCCCTGGCTGATAATTATTTCTTGTGCGTGAAGGCAATGATGCAATGTCCATAATAGTGAGATGCATCTGAAAACACAGCATTATGTGAAGCCCCCAAAAAGAATATGCTGGAAAAGCACAAATCTGTGTATAACTGATATAAATGTCAATAAACAACTAAGATGTCCAACTATTTATTTTTTATGTAACTAGATCATCATTTTTAAAGTACAATAATTAAAAAAACAACAACAACTATTGCATATTTTAACAAAAAGCCCTTAAAAAGTCTTAAATGTAATTAGGTGCAGGAACACTGGGGGATATGCTTAATCAGATGAGCCTGGATGAGCCCCATAAACAGGATATTTCTATCCATGTTAACACACTCACTGATCTAAATCTGACTCTTGGCTGGTTATAAATTCCTCTTGTCTGTCTTCCCGCTCATAACAAAAAAATGAAAATGAATAAACTTGTAATAAAGAACCTCGAAACAAAAGTGTTTAACTCAAGTCTGAAATCCACTTTTGTGCCTTTATAGACGAGGGCGTCCGCAGTGACGCCTTCAGATGACGAATAGTTTTTGAGCATGAGCTGTCTGGCTTATGTGGCAACTCATAAAGCCTTACCCAGATCTATCACATGTACTATGAATATTCATAAACTGTTCTTGTTTTACATTATTAACATACTCATTCCACCCAATAATAAGATTTATGATGGCTTTGTGACACTCAGAGTTTAAAACCAGCAGTGGAAAATTTGCTGGTCACCATGGTAATGCCACATATATTAAGAAAATGCTCCAGAAATGCTGCAATAAATAAAACACATCACGGCTTAAGAGACTGCTCTAATTAGATTTAACTTCACTGCAATTTAGCGCTGCACTGCTGGGTATTAAGCCATGACTAAATCTGAACACCCCTAATTAATTACCTAGGGCTTACTGAGCATCTTGTGCTTGCTTTGTATTTTTGTTTTGTTTAGTTTTATTTTGCCTTTTCAAGGACGGTCAGCTGTATTGTTCTCCCTCAGTCTATGTCTGCGGCTGTGTTCGCTTCTGTCGTGTTGTTATTCTCACATTTTGTGGAGTAAAGAGAAAACATGGAAGGGTGAGCTAACTGAGGAGGAGACAGGAGGGGAACAGTGTTTGTGGGTCACTCAAAACCACGTGACTGAAGGCATTTTCAGGTCTGAGCAGAATTCATTAAGACCAACAAAAATAGAAAAAGCAACAAAACAGCCTTTTTTAATAGTGGACATAAAGAACATAACTCTATAAAATAAAAATACAGATTGCAGGAATCCCTCCTCAGCTGTGTTATTGTGGATAACTGCTACACAAACACACAAGCCCGGTTGAGCAATTTAAGTTAATACAACCAAGCTGTGAAAGCTACAATAAGGTTGATGTCTGCACCGGCAGATTACCAGCTACCGTGTTAACATAATGAGAAAACTAGATGCATTTGCGGTATTGTTTAATAGAAAAAATGTCCTTACACTTGCACTGTATGGTGTTTTTAGGAGGCACCAAACCTTACTCTGCCTGTAGTAAAATAAACTACAGATTCCTGTTAGCAGCATGTAGAATAAATAACAATAAAAAGCAAAGAAATAGCAAACAATACAACCAAATCTAAAAATACACTATTCAAATGTACATGTTTTATACAGAAGTGCTCTCTTTGAAGACTACCACAGTGCTATTGTCCAAATACTTGTAAATCTAACCATATCCAAGCCTGATTATTGCATCTGCAACTAAATATCTTCAAACATCTTTTCAGACAAATTTAGATTAAAGTAGCAGCAGGACTATAGAAATTCTCCCCCTAGAATTTCATTTCATTTCATTTCTGACTCAAGGACTACAAACTGGAACGTGTGTCATAAAAGCACTTGAGCCCACACCCTGCGCTCTCATCACGAGTACCTTCTGAAGGATAATTTCATCTGCTATACCACAATTGCATTACTGAGCATGCAAAAAGCTGAAAGCTGCCTCTGAAGGCCTATGTTCAGGCTGAAAGCATTTCGAATGTATTAGTAAGACAAATCACACTTAGTTCGAACGTACTGTCTCTTTCAGGGACCTGTTTCCACTTGTCTATAGATTCTTTTTAATCTTCCTAAGTGGTCCAGGTTGTGTCCCTGTAGGATCAGAACAAGAGAAAGAGAAAACTTGTTGTGCAGCTTTCGGATTACTCCGCTACGGAGCCCCCCAGGGGACATGGGAGAAAAAAAAATTAGGGAGGAAAAAAAAAAAATTAGGGAGGAAAAAAAAAATAAGACGGACTTTTGCGAGATCTCGCAAAAGTATTGCGAGCGCTCGCAAAAGTATTGCGAGATCTCGCAAAAGTATTGCGAGCGCTCGCAAAAGTATTGCGAGATCTCGCAATAAGTATTGCGAGCGCTCGCAAAAGTATTGCGAGATCTCGCAAAAGTTTTAGCCGCATTCTTCGGAGGCCGCCAGCTCGAAGCCGACCGGGAGGTCGAGGCACGATGTGCCGGGAAAGCGGTGTTCCTCCCGGCTGTAGTAGGTCTCGACTTCCCGTTAGCTTCGAGCTAGTGGCCGCCAGCTCGAAGCCGACCGGGAGGTCGAGGCACGATGTGCCGGGAAAGCGGTGTTCCTCCCGGCTGTAGTAGGTCTCGACCTCCCGTTAGCTTCGAGCTAGTGGGTGTCAGATCTCCAAAAACCTCGGAGCTCTTTTGCAAATATGTGATGTCTTGTAAACCGAGCAGGTATCTGACGTTTACACAACTACATTCACGCCTCAAAATATCTTAAAAGTGTATTTTGTGACCCAGAAAGAGTAATATTACAACTAAGTAGCTGCCGCCATTGTTGGAGTTTTGCGAGATCTCGCAATACTTTTGCGAGCGCTCGCAATACTTTTGCGAGATCTCGCAAAAGTCCGTCTTAATTTTTTTTTTCCTCCCTAATTTTTTTTTTTCCTCCCCAATTTTTTTTTCTCCCATGTCCCCTGGGGGGCTCCGTACTCCGCTGCCCCGCTGCATGTACACATATTATTATAGAACTGTAGTCTTATTTATCCTCAGGTTGTTGCTGTATTTTCAGATCAGATCACAAAGCTGTTCCCCAGCTAATGGCATTCAGCCATGTCAACATGCACCTGCCTAAATATGAATGTATGTGTAGTTCAAAGGGGAATGCAAAGATAAAAGCAGCATCTTGAACGCGGCCCACTTTGACGGTTAGCATTAATGAACGACTAGCATTTTTATTATATAGAATCGTGTTGCCTGCCTTTGATCACCACTCTGCACTGGATGATTTATACTTGAAAGGTTTTTACTGCAGCTATCCCCTCACAGCTTTATCATATCTTATCCCTGCACTGAATTTCAGTGCATAATCAGATGGGTGGAATTAATGTTTTTGAAGACTAGACAAGACATGACTGTAAGTCACTTAACTTAAATCGTTGTTGATAATTTGCTATTAATCCGAGCAGTCATTTGGTGTGGAAGCATCATCTCTCTTTTGCTTTTAGTGATGACAAAAGTTTAAAGCTTCACCCTCTTCATTTAAGGGTTATGCTGAATATTAATAATTTAATCTGTGCTGAGCCACACGAGCTTTCTGTCCATTCCTCGAATAAATGGATCCGGACAAATCAGCAGCTTTATCTATAGAGTACGTTTTGTGCATCATTATCAAGTCCCATTGTTAGCTGCTGCCAGAGAGCATTAGATGGGATGGTTCTGTATGAACTTTGGATAGTTGGCTTTCCTAAAAATACACATTTTAAAATGTTACTGAAATTTGAAATACATATTATTTTGTAAAATATGTTTTGCTATATCAGGGATATTCAATTAAAATTTAAGGACATCCAGTTATAGAACATTTCCTCCATCAAAGGTCCAGAATACATTATAATTCAATGCAATCTATTTTGAAGTATCATCCTTCACTGCATGAACCTCTTCTAAGGTCTTTCTTTTTCCCTCCTGCCTTCATTTTTTTCTCTTTTGAGTGTGGCAGCTTCATTTACAACATCCTTTGTCCAGTATATCTACTATTCCTCCTCTGCACATGTACAAATCATCTCTTTTTTTTTTTTTTTTTTTTTTTTTTTAGAAA